GATAATTGTCAAAATAGGAATAGTTAAATTTTTTATGGGACCAGAGGGTATTAAAGAACCATCAATAACTCGGATAGAAACAAAAGATGTTTTTTGTACACAAAGAATTTTATTGTTTTCTACAAATGATGAATCTAGGAACATCCCCGTAGCTCCTGAATCAATAATGGCCTCAGTCTTGATTCTTTCTTTGTCCCACTGTAAAATTAGACATACAGCAAACTGATGAGAGGAGGAAGAGGGAAGGGTTTTCAATATTGTAGTATGAATTCTAGGCTTACCTCCCATGGAGCATTTTAATAGATGGCATTCTTGCAAAAGATGTTCATTAGAAGCACAATACATGCAGAGCTTCAATTCTCTCCTTCTTGTTTTTTCTTCAGAAGAAAGGGGACTTCTAAGAAAACCGATTTCCACAGGTTTAATTGGTTGAGGGGGTTTACCCTGGATTCTTGTAGCAACAATGGTTTTTTTCCAAAGTGAACTAGTGAGTGCTTTCTCTGCTTTACGTTCTCTGATTCTTCTGTCTATACTGATAGAGAGTTGAATTAGTGTATCGAGAGTTGGAGGGAGTGTGGTTCTGGATAATTCATCTTTAACTGTTTCAGATAATCCTAAACGGAACTGATTGCGCAGGGTGATATCATTCCATTGGGTTTCCAATGCCCATCGCTTGAACTCAGCAATATAATCTTCTACAGGTCGGTTTCGTTGTTGTAGTGTTCTTATAGTAAGGTCAGCAGTGGCTTGTTTATTCGGGTCCTCATATAGAAGGGACAATGCCTCAATAAACTCTTCTAATGAATCCAGTATGGGATCCTTGTTTTCCAGAAAGGAATGAGCCCAGGACATAGGTTCTCCTCTTAGGAACAAGATTACAGAACAGACTTTAGTTCTGTCAGTGGGGTATGACCTGGGTTTAAGGGTAAACAATAATTTACATGAATTCAAAAATTCTCTGTATTTGGAGCGATCTCCATAAAAAGGGTTGCAGACAGCAGGATCACTTGAGGAATGGGAAACCCCTATGGGTGAAGAAGCCTTGCTTTGGATTTCTCTGATATAAGAGAAAATTCTCTCGTTTGCAATTTTTAAATCCTGCATACCTTGAGTAAGCATGTCGACTCTATGATTTAAAGAGGAAATTTGGGAACTAACATCTGCTGGTTCCATGTTAAGAGGGCTTAGTGATTCTGTTATGCCACAAGTAGAATAAATGTGGAACACAACTGCAGATTTGAAATTTCCTTATTTTTCTAACAGAGTGTGAAATGAAAATCCTTTAATTAAGAAAGTTACTGTAGCTTTAAGGCTGCGTGGAATTTGCAGGTTGTTAGTTGAAAGCATAAAGTAATAGCAACAGTAACAGAGATGTTGATAACAGAGTTTTTTGTAGCAGAGTTTTTTAGCAAGAAGGTTAAAGTTCATTAGTAATGCAAAAACCCAGAGAAAGTATTAAAATGAATACTTAGGATTGTTGGGAGTTGGCTTCCAAATGCAGGTTAGCTTGAGCCTGGAGGGTGGTTAAACTTCTAACAGTCCGGTTCTTGGGAATTGGAGAGGCAGGGAAGTCCAATATTCGGTCCGTGGTCAAAGGAGATGAGAAGGCAGGAATTCCGTTTAAACAGTCCAAGGTTCGGTACACAAAAATTATCGAAGGGGAGCTTAGCCGGCAATGTGAATGCGGAAGTCACAAACTGAATTACTAAGCAATTTTGAAACTGGCGCGGTTTCTCTATAAAGCTTGAGAGAGCCGCGTCAGAGGAGGGGGCGGAGACGGTTCCACATACCGGAAATGTCAGAAGAGAGCCGACACCACGGCAGGTTGTCCACGGCCGTGTAGATCGAGGACCTCGTTCTTTCATCCTTCTGCTCATGGACAGCTGTTGATTTCTGTGTACCACCGTTTAGGACTGTTTCTGCACCTTGGCTCACTCGTTGGATTTGGTGGATTCTCTCATCGGCTTACATTGAGAGTTCCTTTGGGACACATTTGGTTCGGGGTGCTGCCAATAACTTGGAAGCCGTTGGGTCCCTTCCGGATTTTCTCTGCACCACTGCTTGGTCTAAGGAATCGGTTTTCCGTTTTCCTTTTATTTCCGTCCTCTATCTTATATTGTTTCTGGTTTTAATATTTGGGCGTTAAAATTGCAAACATGAAGCCCCCTGTCCTGCCATAAAATTAGGGATTATTCTAGCCTTGGTGAGGGAATAATCTAAATGTTATAAAAGACAGGAGGTGAATATTTCCCCCCCTTTATGTTCCCTCCCTGGAATTGAGTCTTATTCTATTATGATTAGTGGAGACTTTGTTATGTTTTGTGAATGCATGGTTTTGCATTATAAAGGTTATTTCTATTATACAGTGATTGTTCGTGTGCATTTTTTTCACAATGTACTATGATGTGCAAGTGATATTGTATGGATATGACATCTTGTTTTGACAGTTTACTTTCACAATGTTTTCTTTTTTCTTGCAGTGTAATCTGTTTTCTCTCTGGATTGTTTCTCTGGATGTGCCTGCTACAAGGTGGATTCGTTGGTTTCCTTGCTCTCCTGCTCGACCTCATCAAAGAAAGAGGAAGTGGGAGAGCCTGCTAAGGGGTTTTATACTACTGTTGCTTTGTTCTAATTGGTTGTTTTGAAAAGTTCTGTTAACTATGTCTTTGCTGCTGGAGGTTTCAATAAAGAAGGTAAAGCAAATATTTGCCTCCTGTCTTCAATAAAATTTAGATTATTCCCTCACCGAGGCTAGAATACTCCCTAATTCGTTCAAATTTTTTTTTCAAACTATAGTGCGGCCCCCAATAGTGTCTGAGGGACAGTGAACTGGCCCCCTGTTTAAAAAGTTTGAGGACCACTGGTTTAGAACCTTATATAACTGATATGGATTAATGAGCACCCTTTGCCCTTATATCCTGTGTCACACTACACAGTTGATCAGGATGCTCTATTATAACAGCTGGCCTTTTGATCCTGATGTCTGGGTGTGTGAGTTTTGGTGCCTGTGCCACCCTGACAGGTGAGATTGGTACCTCTTCTTCCAGAGAGTAGTCGTCTGAGAGCTCAGAGTATGTGTCCAGGTGGTTGGCCATCTTGGGCCTAGCCGCCTTGTGTTCCTTGCGGAGGAGATCAGCAATGTTTGCTCCCAGCTGCGGTTTATCAGGCTTTTGTCGCTTTGTCTTTGACCCATGTTGCTCAGCCACTATCTGTCCGGTGTTCTCCGCTTTTTGGGTGTCAGTGGCCTCAGGAAAAGCCTATTGCAGGCCCCAGATATAAGGAGCTCCACAGATCTGCGACCGCTCGCTTCGGTTGTTCGGCTCCGCCCCCAAGGCATCATTTGTAAACCGAAAATTATGTTAACCGAGGCGTTTGTAAACTGAGGTCCCACTGTATATAGTAAAATAAATCAAGAGATGCACTCTCAGGACTTTTAAATAAATAGAAAAGGATTTATTCCAATAAGTAATATATTAAAAAAATGACCGACGTTTCGACCCGTTCGGATCTTCCTCAAGATCCCGAACTGGTCGAAACGTTGGTCATTTTTTTATGTATTACTTATTGGAATAAATCCTTTTCTATTTATTTAAAAGTCCTGAGAGTGCATCTCTTGATTTATTTTTCTATATATCTACAACGTGGGATTTCACCCAGACTTAAATCAATTTATTTTGGAGAAAGGGTGAGTGCCATAGGTGTGCGCACAGGGTGTGCCGGGTGTGCCTGGGCACACCCTAATCCCCGTGGCACGCCTATGGTTTGAGTCCTGCAGGAACAGTGTTCCTGCACTTTTTTTGAGCAGGAACGCTGTTCCTGCAGGCACTCAGCGTCCCCTGTTTCACCTCTTGCCCCTGTCATGGGGGGGCAAGAGGTAATGTATCCCCTCCCCTCTCTGCAGCTCAGCCGCGGCGAGGGAGCTGTGGGCTCTCTGCTCCCTCTCGCCGCGCGCTGATGCCGGGAGCCGGAATATGACGTCATATTCCGGCTCCCAGCTACAGCAGACAGCCCGCGCGGCGAGAGGGAGCAGAGAGCAGACAGCAGACAGCTCCCTCGCCGTGGCTGAGCTGCAGAGAGGCACCCGCCCCACTGGACCCCAGGGAAAAGTCCACGCCAGCACTCCAGGTAGGAGGCTGGGTGGACATTTTTTTAAAAATTAAAATGTAATAATTTGTTCTTGTGTGTGTCTGTGTGTGAGTGTGTGTCTGTGTGTGAGTGAGTGTGTCTTTGAATGTATGTGTGTGTCTGTGTGAGTGTGTGTCTGTGAATGTGTGTGTCTGTGAGTGTATGTGTGTGTCTGTGTGAGTGTGTGTCTGTGAATGTGTGTGTCTGTGAGTGTATGTGTGTGTCTGTGTGAGTGTGTGTCTGTGAATGTGTGTGTGTGTGTGTCTGTGAGTGTATGGATGTGTGTGTGTGTGTCTGTGAGTGTATGTATGTATGTGTGTGAGTGTGTCAGTGAGTGTGTGT